TATGATACCTTTTGGATTGTCTGCATAGTTTGATTACAGTTGTTACAAATAAACCTTGTTGCCATTATGTTTAATGTCTTACAGGAATTATATTTCCTGCAGTGGTTATCTTTGATAATGGCCTTTAATGCACACCAATCAGTCTTTACTCACATACTGCCATGATTGGTCTATTTATTTTAAAAATGAAGAAGGTTCAGACAAAGTTCAAAGCCCTCAGAATTCTGCTTTGCTGCCTCTGTCACTAAGCACATTCTTTGCTTGAAAAACAGGATTAAACCTCAGCTTATTGATTTAATATTCCATTTTTTGCATTTGTTAGTGGGCAGCTGGGCTGATGGAACCCTTGAGTCCACAGCATTCTGCCAAATCTTTTTTCTGCATGTTTTTTCAAGTTCCAGCTATGTAGTGAATTTTATTAATTAGAAGAATGTTTCCCAACTTAGTAGGCAGGCTCTCCACCAGCCCCAGGAGCTGGGGTAGGGCACACTATGAAAGAAGAGAATTTTGAGGGCAGGGAAAACTGCTTACTTTTTCCACCTGCCTGCAAATATGTTCCCACAGTAATGAATACAATTCTCTTTGAAAAATCACCCATGCAGCTTCCCCTGACATTTGTGGTACCTCTCACTGTGTCAGGTTCGGTTTCCCCACACCTAAATCTCCTGACTCAAGAGCCCCAAAATCTTCTCTCCTGTTCACACTTAAAGAATAATTAAGAAAGTTCCACTGAAACACACCAAGTCCTGGTGCCAGCAAATTAAAATGAGTTTAAGCCCTGTTGCTATAGGACACGTGAAAGCACGACACGAGCCACCTGCTATTTGCAAGGTAAAGAAGAAAGTTTATTTTCTGACTCCAACTTTTATACTTTTCCAAAGGTGACATTGGATTGGAGAGTGAATGTGCCACCTCTCCAAAGACATTGGATAAACTACTAGTACATTAAGTTTCTCTACCCCTATGAAGGAATGCAAAACAATATGTTGTTTATAGAAATTGTGTGGGAAAGTTTTTTAACAGAATGTAAACTCAGAAAGCTTTAGAAAATCTTAAAAATCAGAGCAGCAAAGCCCCATGTGGCAGCTCTGATCAAGGGGTGTTTTTCCATCTGGCTAGCTCAATATTTTAGTTGACTCACCTTTTTGTGCCTCTGTGTTTCCATATACACAGGACCTTGGATTTCTCAGATCCTGTTTCAAGCCCTTCCGAGGAAATAAGGGCTGGTCTGCCTCAGGGAGCTGTTGTGAAATACAGCGGAGTGTGAATTTAAAATGCAGCGCTTTGCCTGCATTAACTCCTTGTGGGGATGCTCTGTTCTGCACACAGAATGCTCAGCAGCTTCCTTTAACCCACTCTGCTAAGATTAGAATGACTAAAACCGGGTAATCCTAAATAAAATAGGCTGTTTACATTTATGTCTTTTTTCTTTAAACAACCTGGATGATGTTTACATTTTAATCAGCTGTTATCCTCCTAAGGAGTTTCACCCATTTCCCATGTGCTGTCCCTGCTGTTGGATTTGGTTGAAAGCAGTTTCTTGCCCCAAATTCAGTGTGCAGCCTTGCAAAATTGTGCCAAATCAGAGGCTGAGGGTCAGATTGTTGGGAGCTGAGGGGAATACTTTGAGTTTGGGCTGCTGGCAGTGTGCTGCTGAATGGCACCCTGTTTCACACTGCAGAAATGCAATGTACAGCCACTTCCACTCTCAGGTGTGGGCTGTTTGTGGACTGAGGCAGAGGCTAATTAAGGTTTAGTTCCCCCCTTGTCACATAAATCCTGACTCATGTGGTGCAGCATCCTGACCAAATATAAACCCATGAAAGCCCAATTCAGTTTAATCACTGTGCAGCCTTCCCGTTTCTGTTGGAATCACCTGCACTGCCCTCATAAACCTTGACTAGGAGCAGAGAGAAGTGAAGGGAGGGGACAAGGTAAAAATATACAGAGAAATAAACCAACAGAAGTGCATGAGCAGGCACATCCCTGCTCAAAAGAATGAGGAGCATTCATTCAATTAGTCTGGACAGATTTTTCAACTATGAGATGGTGGGTGAGAATGCAGGAGCTGGTTTGTGCTGTTTGCAAAATTTTCAGCATTTTTTTTTGTAGTTGATGTAATTGTCTCTGTGTTGGAGTGAGTTAATTAAATGTTACTGCAATATTTACTGGTGTCTGTTCGGTTTTTAAAATCACTTAATTCTATGTTCCTGTCAGTTGATTTTCTGCCAAAACCATCTTGTCTTCTATTTTGGCTTATGTTACCTTAAGTAACCCAGTGTGGTTTTATGAACATGTTGCTCTTCATGCCTCTGATAAGGAGGAAGAAACTGTTACAAATAAAAAAAAAAATGTTGTTTATTGTCACTGGGAAGGTAGTTCATGAAAAAATTAAAACACATGAGCTCAGAAAGTAGTTCACATATAAATGTTTCTTATAAAATTCATTTAGTGCTCTGTGTGCATAGGAACTTATGAGAGATCTTTAGGTATTTTTTCACCTATGTGAAATAGTTGCAGAAACATTTCTATTTTATGGACACCACGATTTAAGTAGGATAGTTCCTGTCATCCATGGGCAGCTCTCAACTCAGAGGAACTGGGAGCTGAACAGGGTTGGGTTTCCTCACAATTCTCCTTGTGGGTGACAGTGCATCCACCATCCCAGCAGATTTTTTTTACTTATTTCTACCAGCCAGAGCTGTCTCCCTCATGGTAATATTTCATGGTGAGATTCCTTCTGTCCACCTAATCCTTTCAAATCAAGGCAAACACACCCACCTACCGCTGCCCCAGTTTTTCTCAACTCTGTGGTAAGAAAGAGCATTTTTAATGCATCCTCTATATTGCAAGCTACCTCTTGTGTTAAAATTATTGTCGTGGCTTCAAAGGTGATGTCCTGCCCGTGGCTGTATTGGAGCCACATTCCAGTGGCAGCCTTTCATAGCAGATGCCTGCATTGTTTGAGTAAGGGCTAAACTATGGGCTGCATTTGCTGTGCGTGCCATTCAGCTCCAGAGCTGGGCAGGGGAGGAGCAGAGCCTCCCCAGATGAAAAGCTGCAGGGTAATAAGGCAATTTGTGGGACTCTGCTCCTGGAACAGATCGTTCTCTGCTTGCTGTAAACGAATCCGTTTGGCTTTCTTTTGTAAAATGTGTCAACTGAGCCCACATTTCATTGGAATCCCCTCGGTGCAGCCACAAGATAGGTGTCTCTGCGATTTATGGGCTGAAGTTGCTTTTTGGGGTAGCTATCAATGACAAAATCCCATCAGTGGATGCAAGGCAGCACAAATGTGCTCATTTTCCCTCTGGAGCTCAGCTGACAGATGCATTATATTTTGTCTGGAGAACTCAACTCACTCCAGCGACCTGAGAGTGTGAAATTTCTAGTCCTTAAGAGGAGTAAAAATCACACCTCATGGGGATCATAACTTTAGAAAATAAAGCCCATTAGGACAGATGGAGGGACTCCTCTGGTTGTATAGCCTAAACATGGGAATAGGGAAAAGTCAGATGTGGAAGGAAAGGAATATGGTGTGTCTTCAAAGATGTTTAGGAACAGTGAAACCATTTGACCTCCATGTCTGTGCTAGAAAAGATGAGAAGTAATGAGCATCAGTTACAAGAGAGGTGCAAGATCTATTGCAGGTGAAGTTTCAGGATTTCCTGTGTTTTAATAAAGATTTGAGGGTTCTGACCCTTTAATAAATACATGAATCTGTGGCTCAGAACTCTGTGCCAGGAAATTCCATGCACTGGAGTGGATGTGGGCTGTGATCAAGGTTTTATATTCTTGTTCTTCTTGAGAGAACGTCCTGATGAAGAGCAGAAATGGACTTGCTGTGCACCCGCTTGGTTACGTGAGCTAGACAAGTCCTGTTTGGCAAATGAATTTTATGTATTCGTTTCTGAGACCTAAAGATATCCAAAGTGTCATTTTAGTTCTTATCATCAAGAATATTTTCTTTCCCTGCCTCCTCTTCTTGAATTTGTATTTAGTCCTCTTGATTCTTAAGTCTTTGATTGGGTGCAGGCTGTGATTTCACCTTTCTAAAAAGGGAGATTTCTGCACAGCTGTCACCTTTGTTAGGTAGATGGGAGGCACCTGTGGCTGCTCCTTGCATGGGAGGATAGGATATTCCTTTACATATGTGTGAAGTTTTCCCCTGAATGCAGTTTTTTAACTCTATTTACACCTAAACATAAAACCACTTGGGATTTTCCCCTTGTCACATGTCAACAGTCAGAGCTTTCTCCTTCTGCTGTTAAAATTGCATTGTGTCCACAGTATCAGAGAGCTCCTGAGCTCAGGAGATCTGAGGACAGAGCTTTTTAAATGCAAAGATTATCTGGTGGCTTGCTGATTGCTTGTGTTTAACCACTATGTGAACTTAAATATAAAGACAGAAAGTGAAAAGATTTAAATAAAAATAGTCAGTAAGTGGAGTTCTGGAGATGTACAGCTGACATTTATTCACTGCCCTATCACCCTGATGCTCCAGAGACTATGAAGACTGGATATATTCCAGAACTGTCTGGATATAGCCCTGTACCATGGACATTTGCAGGGTTAAATGTCCTGTGCTGTTTGCAACACTGCCAACAAGAATTTTACTTTTTAAAGAAGTAGGTCATGTATTTCTAAAAATATAACAGTCAAACATAAGCATGCAACTTCTTCTGCTTCTGCAGAAGAAAGCACAGTCCTCATGTGCAGCTTTTTCTTTTGGTTGGTTGGTTCAGGTTGTTTAGGTGTATTTAAAGGAAGGTGTAGGGTTAGCTGGAGGTGGAGAACGCCCACAAAACAAAAAATTGTAGCATGTCCTACTTGTGAAGGGATGGTCAACAACATTTTTGAGTATTTTTATCATGCACAGAATCAAGTTTCAGAAAACAGCAGGGGGTTATGCTCTCATTTCTGTTTATATTTTTATGATTTTCATTTAATGTGCATGGGTAATTCAATAAATGTTTCTCCTTGCATAGAAGCCGATTGCATGAGAGCAGAGTTTGCTTCAGGAGGGTTGTTGTGCTCATGAAGCACAGAAATTCTCTTGCTTCTGTGTGTTTGGTGAGTATTTTCTTCACCAGAACACTCCCTACCTCAACCAAATGTGTATTACTTGGTGTGCTTTCCTGCAAGCTAAAAAGGGAGGGACGGGTGGTGGTTTTGCTCTGGTTTTAAGTGCTTGGAATATATTTAGGATTTGTGGATGTTTTGGTGATAGGAAGTGGGTGCATTGACATAATATCACAAATTTCAAATTTGTTGGTTTTTTGAGCAGGTAATTATTCTGTTTAGGATATTTGCTTACTGATAAACAATCCTCTAAACTGAATTAGTAGTGAAAAAGAATATTGAAACTGTCTCAATGATATATGACTATATTAACAAAACTGGCAGCTTAATTAATAATAAGTTATTAATTAATAAATCTTTCAAAAGTTATTTGTATTGCCGCTAAATAATTCCTGTTAAATTCAGAAAAAAAATTTGCTTGACAGAACGGTCAGAAACATTCTGCCAATGAAAGGCTGCTACAAGATCACATGAGGAAACATGGTAAGTTAAAATAAAACATACTTTTCTCAAGGTTAGATAAACTACAGGTCAGATAAACTACAGAGTTACAAGCACTGTTATATCAGCTAAGAAAATTGATATATGAACCTAGGTCAACTGTGTTACAAATGCTGGAAAAGTAAGAACTGTGAGGCATGGAAATTCCATTCATTGTGCCTTCAAACCATAAAGTTCAAGGGGCTTTTCTCTCTTGCAGATGTTTATTCCCCTCCTGAACCTCTGTTGTAAATATAATTTGCGCCATTCCTTGTATGAAATATGGAATATTGGATACTTGTTAGATTATGCCTGTTTGTATTAGTTCCCCCCTTTGCAGGCGAGCCTGGGTGTATATTGGAAACTGATTTACAAGTAAAAGGATGTGGCTGGGCCAGGAGATGGGCCATGGCTGGAATCCAGGTGTTGACCATTGGGAATCCAGGTGTTGATCATTGGGACTCCAGGTGTTGATCATTGGGACTCCAGGTGTTGACCATCGGGAATCCAGGTGTTGATCATTGGGAATCCAGGTGTTGATCATCGGGACTCCAGGTGTTGATCATCAGGAATCCAGGTATTGATCATCGGGACTCCAGGTGTTGACCATTGGGAATCCAGGTGTTCACCATCGGGACTCCAGGTGTTGATCATCGGGTGCTGATCATCGCACATACGGCCCAAGATGGATCTCATGGAAATCCTCAGACAGACCCATGTGAGTGCAGCCTTCCCATAAAATCTCATCAGGGATTCACTTACTCTGGACACTGAATTATTCCTCCTCATCACCAAAAAAAGAAAATCTTATTAACCTATAGACTCTGAATAGAAGAAAAGACTGATTGCTGAAATCTTGGCCTCAGGCGGAATTTTCCCTATAAAACCCTCTTGTGCCAGGATGGAGGTGTGTGGGCATAGGGGAAACCTCTGCTGAGGCTGACTCCTTGTTGCACACCCGGGGTCGACCCTGGGCTCGGCTCTGTTCTTTCCTTGTGGCTGTTTAGATAGAATATTGATCGCTAATAAAATGATTTTTTATTTTTAATCTGGCTGAATAAACGCCCATTTATAACAATTTGCTTTCAGGAGGCGGGGCTGGGTGAAAGCCCAAGGTGTGTTCCAGCTGCTCAGGCTCACTCACACAGCCCGGTCCTTCCCTGAGCTGACCACAGCCTCCCTGGGCTCCCGGAGATTCCCACAAGGCAGCGATGACTCGCTGGGAAAGAATCCCGCATCAGAGCAGGAGGAAAGCCGGGCCATTGCTGTGGGACACGCAGGAAATGTGGCTCTGTGCCTTGGGAACGGGAATATTCCAGCCATGCAGGCAGACCCGGGGACATTCAGGTTGTACAAACACACAGAGAGCTTTGTGCAGACTTGCTCCGTCAGGGGAGATTCTGCTTGCCAGCTGCATTCTTAAGGAAACGTGATTTTTCACTGACTACAACTCCACACATTGATGCTTAGACGCTGCATTTCATTAGATTCGACTGAAGGTGCTTTTGAAAAGAGATTGGCAATAAATCCAAATTGAGATTTTTATTTTTGTGTTATTAACTAATGAAGCTGTTTAAATATGCTAGTTTTTTTGTTTTAATTAAAGCATAACACATTAAGATAGGATATATTAAATAAAGCACGTGGCTAACTGAATTATTTGTATCTGGGTACTCTGGCTGTGATTAAAACTGAATTGCACAGTGTGCTTGGCTGTCTTTGTATTCTGATAATTCTGGCTGTACAGGCAAGGAAAATCTCAAGGTGGCTGGAGTAGGAACAAGGCTGATGGGAACCTGTGTCATGTCCCAGTGAGAGAATTTGGCTGATGGAGCTGGGAGGCATCCCAGGGTCCCAAGCTGCTCAGGCACAACCTGAATCCATTCAGGTGCTGCAGCCAGTTAGGTCCCTGGGTCATGATTCAGCTTTCTTTAGCAATTCTGGCAGCAGAATTCACGTCTGCGTGTTGCTGCAGAGTGCCAGTGCAGACATGACATCCCCATATTCCTATTGCATAACATCACGCTGATAAATACTGAAATTCCCTCGTAAAGAGCTTGCTAACCTATAGGAAATTATTCTGAAATAAGCTGTGATGTGAATGTAAATGTTGTAGATATTCTGAAATCGCTCCCTACGTGGACATATTTACATGGCAGACAACTGAGTAAATTGGCTGCTCCCATTCCAAAAGCCTGCTGAATCCACTGACACGGTTTGGCAGATTCAGTTATTCCAGACAGGTTTTCCACACCAAGCTATTTACGTTAGGGAGAAAAGCAAAACAAAATTCCTGGTCTGAGACAAGGTATGAGGAAAAATACCTGTGCAGGGAGTGATTCTGGAATATTGCAATGCATTATATTTCTTTTTTTTTTTTTTTTTTTTTTTTTTT